CTCTTTTTTTTTTGCACAGCCCAAGTCCACCCAGGCGGGCCGTAGGGGCGCGGCGCCACCAAAAGTGGGGCCTGCTGGTGCTTGCGTCAGAGGGGGAGGGGGAGGCGTGCGGTGTGCCCGGAGTCGGCTCGACGGCCGCACCCTGCCGGCCGCCTCCGCTGGCCCGCCCTCCCAGTCCGCAGCCTTCCCGTCTCCTCCGAAAGGTGTGTGTGTGTGTGTGCGCGGTGATGCCGTGGGTGTGCGACTGGGAGCAACGGCCAACTCAAAGGCAGCGGCGGGGCGGGCGGGGCGGGCGGTGCTGCAGCGCAGCGCGCACCTTTGTGGAGAGGAAGAGGATCGGGCTGCACGACTGCGAGATGCGCGACAGCTTCTCGAGCCCGTCCGCCAGCAGCTTCTTGGCGCCCGCCGACGGCATCGGCGACGTCGGCATGATGGGCGGGTAGTACGGCACCGCGATCACTGCGGCGTACTGGGCGCCAAAGAAGGCGACGAGGAAGTCGAGGCCGGGCGGGTACACCAGCATCACCCGGTCGCCGGTGTTGGCGCCCCACTTCTGACGCAGCGCCACGCACAGGTTGCACGCCTGCTCGCGCAGCTCCGCGAAAGAGAGGGTCGCCTCCTCGCTGCAGTCGCCCCGCATCCACGAGTAGAGGCGGCGCGCGCCATTTTTGCGCGCCTGCTCCTCAAACGCGCCGGTGAAGCTGCGCTTTGCCGGCGGCTCTGCCATGTGAGGCTGCTCCAGCGCGGACACAGCTGCCAGGAGACGGTGCGAGTGCCACAGCGGCCGACGGCCTGGGGAGAAGGAAGGCGAGGCGTGGGTGAGACCGTGCGGCGGCAGGCGAGAGCGTGTGTGGCGCGGCGGCGCGGCGGGAGGGCGGAGATCGCGCGGCGGGGAGGGCACAACCGCTGTTAGTCCGCGCCCGCAGCTCCCAGGAGGAGGGCAGATGCGCAACCTCGGTACCTCGCGCTCAGGCAGCGACTCGGTTTTTTTATTCGTCCACTTTACGAGGATTGAAAAGGAAATTCCGTCAGCTTCCGTCCACTGGTGATGACTCCTTACTCATTTGAACACGGAACTCCTTGAAACGGCGGGGGCAGACGCGCAAGGAGCACGCGGAGCGCCTTGGGGGTGCCGGGGGGATGGAGAAAGGAAAACAGATGGGTGGCAACGGGGGGGGAGGGGCGTTGGGTTGGAAGGGGGGAAGGGGGGCACAGCCCCGCGTGAGGGCGAACCCCCCCCCCCCCTGTTCGGATCGGCCGGGCGAAGCGCCGAAGCCAAGGGCTAGAAGTTTGGGGGGGATAGGTTGTTGTGGTCAAAGGCAGCGCTGAGATTCCCCCAGATGCGGAGTATTGTCGTGGCCAAGCCGCCGTTGCGAAGGCGTGGAACATTCGTCTGTCAAAGGCGGCGGCCGTATGTCTGCATAGCGAGCTGTAGCTCCTCCCAACCCACCGCCCCGGTGCCCGCCTCTCGGGCCTCTCGCCAGAGCAGCTGTGCGCCATCCTCAAGGCGCGGCGGGCGCGAGCTCTGCAGCTTCTGCTGGTGCTCCGTGTCGCTCTGCGCCCCTTGTCCTTCCGCTCGGCCTCCTTGCGCGGCCTCAGCTCGGCCTCCTTGCGCGCCACCTCCCCGCTGCCGGGAGAGCTGCTTCACCTCTCGCTGCTTCTCCCTGAGCTCGATGCGCGTTGCGGAGGAGCATGCCGCTCGGCTCGTGGAGGCAGCCCGAGTGGGTGCTCTCCAAAGTCCTCCTAGCTTGCCGGATATCGCCCCTCATCCTCGCCCGCTCCCAACCAAGGAGCACGCTGTCAAGGCGACGTGCCGCGCGTGGCGCCGCGGCTGGAAGGTGCTCGATGGCAAGCTGTGCGCTGTTGGCGGGTGCGGTTATCGCGCACCTCGATTCTGTGGATAGGACCCGGCTGGAAAAGCGTGGGAGACTGGGTGGTGCGGGGTGCGGCGCGGCGCCGGCAGGCGCCTGTCCCTGACCCTGTGGCTCTGACCTCTGTGCGCTCTCTGCCTCGGCACCTCGGCTCTGCACTCTGGCGCTACGTAGCCGCCCTTAAGTTATAATAAGTATATATATACAACCCGACTCTCCCACCGTGTGCGGGAGCCGCGGCGTTGGCCAAAGTACAGGTTTCGATCCGGGCCACCGCAAATTTTGATCAGCAAATTTCGAGGGGCGGCCGCAAATTTTGAGGTAGATTTTGATTGTCAAAATGTGTCCGTCTTGGCACAGGATAGAGCATATAGGCGGCGAACACCCAGGTGCGCAGGGACATCGCGACTCTGCCCGGGCTCGCTCGACCCTTTTGCCGCGAGAGGGCGCCGGCCGCGTGTAAGAGGTGGCTGGCGCCCTGAGGCGGCAATTGGTGGCGTGGGGAGTGCGGAACGCTACTGGCGGCGTGACAGGGCCTCTCTCGGTTGCGTGTGCCGCCCATCGGCACGCGGGTGCGCAGACATCGCGACTCTGCCCGGGCTCGCTCGACCCTTTTGCCGCGAGAGGGCGCCGGCCGCGTGTAAGAGGTGGCTGGCGCCCTGAGGCGGCAATTGGTGGCGTGGGGAGTGCGGAACGCTACTGGCGGCGTGACAGGGCCTCTCTCGGTTGCGTGTGCCGCCCATCGGCACGCGGGTGCGCAGACATCGCGCGACTCTGCCCGCTCGCTCGACCCTTTTGCCGCGAGAGGGCGCCGGCCGCGTGTAATCGTGTAAGGAGGTGGCTGGCGCCCTGAGGCGGCAATTGGTGGCGTGGGGAGTGCGGAGAACGCTACTGGCGGCGTGACAGGGCCTCTCTCGGTTGCGTGTGCCGCCCATCGGCACGCGGGTGCGCAGACATCGCGACTCTGCCCGCTCGCTCGACCCTTTTGCCGCGAGAGGGCGCCGGCCGCGTGTAAGGAGGTGGCTGGCGCCCTGAGGCGGCAATTGGTGGCGTGGGGAGTGCGGAACGCTACTGGCGGCGTGACAGGGCCTCTCTCGGTTGCGTGTGCCGCCCATCGGCACGCGGGTGCGCAGACATCGCGCGACTCTGCCCGCTCGCTCGACCCTTTTGCCGCGAGAGGGCGCCGGCCGCGTGTAAGAGGTGGCTGGCGCCCTGAGGCGGCAATTGGTGGCGTGGGGAGTGCGGAGAACGCTACTGGCGGCGTGACAGGGCCTCTCTCGGTTGCGTGTGCCGCCCATCGGCACGCGGGTGCGCAGACATCACGACTCTGCCCGCTCGCTCGACCCTTTTGCCGCGAGAGGGCGCCGGCCGCGTGTAAGAAGTGGCTGGCGGCCTGGCGCCCTGAGGCGGCAATTGGTGGGGTCAGCGTGCGGTGCTGAGTCTTACTCGTCGGCGCTGGGGCCAGATCCCAGCGCAGAACTCTGCAACGCTGGCATACAAACACAAGAAGACTAACCCTAACCCTAACCCTAACCCTAACCCTAACCCTAACCCTAACCCTAGGTCAGCGTGTGGGGCTGAGTCTTAGTCGTCGGCGCTGTGGGGCCAGATACCAGCGCAGAACCCTGCAACGCTGGCATATACAGACACAACCAGACTAACCCTGACCCTAACCCTAACCCTAACCCTAACCCTAACCCTCTAACCCTAATAACCCTAACCTAACCCACCCCCCAACTCCACACCGCAAATTTGAAAGATCTTGATGAAAATCAGGCCCGACTGCAAATTTCTTCAAATTTTCGCAGGCGCTCCGCGCCTGCAGATTTTGAAATAAATTCGACAAAATTGGTACCTGGCCCAAGCCGCGGGAGGAGACCGACCGTCGATCCTCGTACCTCGAGACTTCGCAGGAACTGATTACAAAAGCGCGGCTCTCTCAAACCGGACGGTGCGGAGACGCGACAGCCGACACGGTCAGCCCCGGGCCCCGCGCGCCCTACGCCTACCCTTCCTCCCTCAGCCCCACCTCGCGCAACAGCCTCCGCTGCAGCGCCTCGCGCACGGCGTCGCGCGTCTTTTGCGTGATCCGGTCGACGCTCACGCGGCCGTGCGCCGCGATTGCGTCGCAGAAGGGCACGCGGTGGCCGTAGATGGGCGCGGTCAGCGCGCCGAAGACCACCGCCTCGGCCGGCGAGGCGAGCAGCCGGGTCACGGCGGCCTGGAAGGCGGCGGAGTGCAGCTCCATCCGACCAACCTCGTCGATGACGACGACGGAGCGGCGGGCGGCGGCCGAGGGCGGAGGAGGCGAGAGGGCGGGCAGTGCGAGCGCCTCGAAGGCCGCGACGTCCACCGCATAGGCGCCCGTCCGTGGGCAGTGGGCGGGCAGGCCCACCTGGGGGTAGCGGCAGGGCTCGGGGGTTCCGGTTGTTTGCTGTTTGAGTCTTTGAGGTCGGGGCTGGGTGAGCTCTTCTGCTGTTCACTCCCCGCCGCCTCGGGTGATCTCGGGTAATCTCGGGTGACCTCGGGCAATCGCGGGTAGTCCACGCCTTTCGCGAGAGCACGCCCCGCCGCCCGTCCGGGACGGTGACGACGTCGAAGCCGACGCGGGAGCCGCCCGCGCCGAGCACCTCCTCCGTAAAGAAGCCACGCAGCGCCACGCCCCGCTGCGCCAGCGCCTCGGCCACGCGCCGCACCTGTCGTCACGAGTGCTGTGTCCATCTTGCCGCCCGCTCACCTGTCGCCATGATTTCGTCTCGCACCAGCGTCGTCTTGCCGCTGCCCGGCTGCCCCGTCACCATCAGCCACGGCGGCGCAGTCGGCGGCACCTGCGCGTCGCCGCCGCAGCCAGCACCGCTCGCAGCCAGCTGCCGCTCACCGCAAGCCTCGCCGTCTCTGCCGCCGCCGCCGCCCTCTCCGCCAATGCCGTCGCTGCCTCCGCCACCGTCACCGCCGCCACCTCCGCCCCGACGCCCCTTCGTCCCCGTTGCCGCCATCTCCGAAGACCGTGCCGCCGCCTCTGTGGCAGCCGCCCTCGCCGCCACCGCCCGCGTGAGGGCGAGGGAAGAGGAGGGCGAGGCGCCCGCCTCGCGCTCCCAAGAGGTTGGCTCATCCGCGCAAGAGCTCGCCGCGAGCGCCTCCTGCGCCTCGCGCTCCACTATGTCGAGCGAGCGCTTGCGCGCCCGGCGGCAGAGCCGCTGCAGCTCGCCGGCGACCGCGTCGTCCTTCCCAGAGGGCATGTAGGTCTACACACACACACACATAGGGAGGGGTGGAAGGTGAAACGATTCGGATTTGTGAAACGCTGTCTCGACTTTTTTCGCGAGCCACAGGCGCTCGCCCTGGTGAGCCACAGCGCCTCCGGACAGCGTGCCGAGCGCCTGCTACAGGCCTGCCTGCAGCCCAGCCGCACTCGCTGCGGCGGCAGCTAGTCGGTTCGGCCTGGACTCGCGCGCGCCGAGATGGGAACCCAACACACGGCGCGTCGACCCGCCTACGCTTTTGCAACAAAGTCTGCTTGGCTTGTGCAGGTGATGCCCAGAGCAGCAGAGACGACGCCGGCAGCCTCGGCTCGACCTCGAAGGCGGATCTCGTGGCCAAAAACCTGTGCTCTATTCGTCGGTGGTTCACAGTAGACGTCTGTGTAGGGAAGCTCTCGCGTCGACTACGGCCGCCGAAGACTGTCTATGAGGGCACACCCGAGGAGGCGCCGATTTCAAGCACCGTGCGGCGGTGGCCAGGTCACAGGCATCGGCTGTGACACTGGAGAGTCGAGCAGCGGCACTGAACTTCCCTACAGGTCATTCCAGCGACCCACGGAGTACGGTCTCAGCGCGCAATCACTCTACTAGATCCCATCCTTGCCGGGCCTCTGCGAATGTAGGTACCGAGTTCATGCGTGGCCAGGTTGCAGGCCCATACTGCCTGGTCTCCAGCACCTATGATCACCGCGCCAGGCCGCAGTCGACGACGTTTGTGTGCGCTGGCCGCACTCAACCGTTGAGTCGCGGTGTATCAGTCTGACCACACTCGGGACCGCGTAGGCGATGTGGGCGACTCTGGCCGTCCTGCATATGACCGACCATGACCCAGGAGGAGTGTACACGAGACATATCGTACATGGCTGGCGTTCTCGCGGCAGCACTATCGCGTGCGGCCGAGTGCGAGCTTCCGTGCCCGGTGCCAGACGCACTCGGCGCCAGACGTCCTCGGGAGCTCGCAGTTTTGCCATACTTGCCTGCCCTCCCACTGGCTCGGCGCTCCTGGTCCCCACCCTCGTAGGCAAGGCTGAGCGACCCCGAGCTCCAGGGCGCCATCGCCGTGCTTGGCGGCGCCGCCAAGGGCGCGAAAGACGCGCTCACAAAGGACTAGACGCGCTGCTGCTAAAGAAGCCGGGCACGCTCGTCGCGAGAAGTGGCTGCCGCCGCCGTCGGGAGGGCGGCAGCCACTTCTCGCGCTGCCCAACGCGCCTTCGCCGACCGCCGCGCCATCGCCGATGCCGTTGCTCGCGCTACCGGCGCCACCGGCCGCGCGGGCCGCGCTGGCGGC